TCTATCGAGTAAAAGTTATATCGCGATACATATCGTTATCGTTCTATCGCCCAGCTCTACCTCAAAGGAAACAACGGCCACACCTGCTGTTCGCAGAAACTACCTTTGCCCTTTTGTGTTGATCGTGGTTCTTTGGAACCATGCATGCAAATGTCTGGAAAGATTACCCTCTCTCTGCCATCTCTTGTGATTGCGTTAAGTTGTATTTTGTGTAAAAACAGCATACAGTCATGAATTGGCCTCGATTGCCCAGTTTCTATAAAGAAATAAACAGAAACAGTACTTTTTATTTAATGTGAATGGTTTAATCAAATACTATATCATTGTTATGAACAGATATAGATGTTAGATTGTTTAAAGGCTAAGTTTCATCAAGATTGAACCATCAGTCTAGGAGGAGATCAACAAACAAACATACAGGCATACATGCGCAATGCTCATTATAGTATAATGATTGTTTCCGTATAAGTGAGCCTGTACAATGGCTCATCTACTGTTAGGAGTGTATAATGTACAAAAGCACTTTAATTTCATAATAATAAAGAAACAAACCTTAACAACACCACATAGCCAAAAGATGAAATAGTCTGCTATTAAGCTCTAACAAACATGTAAACATTAGGCTCAAAGCTGTACAGTCAGCTGCCTGTTACGCCTTGAAAGATAACAGTGAGTTGCCCAACACTACATGAAATGTTAGCATTTATGAGACATGCAATAAAAACCTTGTGACAAAAATAAGCTGAATTTATAGCACTTCTTTAAGGGAAAAAAAACACACAGCAACACAGTAATTCCACCAGCGACAATTTAGTCTTGAGGGTACAAAGATCTCTTATGTGATGGTAACGATTCTTCATGGCTGCCTGAACTTATCACAGTATGCATGAAGGGTTGCATGCAGTAAGTTGTGTGAAAGTAGAGTTCAGCTATGGCTAAGCAGCTTACACTTGGCTAAAACTTGCATACAAAAACTGCACAACCTTTTTTAGATCGCATCACTCACTGGGCCTCTATCGCTCTTTCAGCATCTCTGATCATCTTTTTTAAAAAGGCCAATTTGTTCACCATCCCCACTCTTCCAGACAGCTCTCCCTTTCAGTGCCAGTGCCTTTGTTAATTATAAATCTCACCCTGCCGCCTTATTTTAACAGACACAAGGGGAACTACCCCAAGCAAGAGCATGAGATGAGGCGAGACATTATGAAAAGGAAGAAGGAGAAAGACATGGCTGACTGATCTGAATCAGAAGGTCAGAGAGGGAGAGAGGACAGATATGAGGATACAGAAGATTGTTTGTTTGGGGGACGACAAAATAAGGACTGGGTTGCCTGGCTGACCTCGATTCTGCCGTGACTCCTCTGTGCTACAAGGCCGGGAGGGGTGTGTGTGTGTGTGTGTGTGTGTGTGTGTGTAGGGAGGAGTCCAGACTTAAACCTACAATGACAAGGCTGCTGTTCTAACAATGCACCCCCTCCGATGAATCAGCCGACCCCCAACTGTTTGTTTCCCCTCTGCTCTTCAGTTTGCATTTGCAGGAAAACACAAAAGTATTCTGTTGTTTTGTGAATGACTAATACTGGCAAACAAAACTCAAACGCAATTTATTGGAATTTAAATTACATTTAATTTACTGGCTTTTGAAAATTCTGAAAATAATAATCTGGATAAAATATATTTTTTGCATTAATTTTATGTCTTGTGTTCCAAGAGAACCCATTTCCTTTACATCAGTGTGCTTTCCTGCCACCAAATCTTAATCTTCAGCTCATGCCAAGATAATGGAAAGGGACCCTTTAGTCAACAGACTATCTAGAAAAAAATAAGGACATAAAATAATTATGTAGCTGAAACTGTGGAAGGATCATAAACGATACAGCTAGAGCTGTTCCAAAGGACAATGATATCTCGGCTCGACGATCATCAAATCATTTTGAGCTTAATATAAATGTGCAATTGCAGAAAATTGTGTTATTATTTTGCCAGAATTATTGTGTCTCCTTAACTTTTTCCCTGCCAGGCATTTCTGTTGGTGAAAAAGTGCTGTATATAAAAAACGTGATGAAGGGTGGAGGAGAGAAAGGTGACAGAAGGACAGCAGAGCTACAGACTTGTAGTAATAACTTAAAGAGACAGCATATGTAATGATCAAATATCGTTTTAGTTGCTCAGCTGATGTCTGTCCATGTATACTCACTAATTATGGTACATTTATCTCTCTATCAGCAGCCGTTTCTCGCTTACCAGTTACTGAGACAACACTGTTGAGTCTTTTTTTTGTACCACACATTTCAGAGCTCCGAAAACACTACTTTGGTGATAACACCGACCAGCGATCATCGGATGATCAGATTATGGAGCAGATCACCAAAACAAATTACAGCTGCTTTTATCTGTGAATCACCAGGTCTCTCACCCGGTCCACTTTTGGTAGTGTTTGATAGTGTTATCAGTTGGTCATCAGCTCTTTATTGCTCTCCCTGTTGCTGCTGTTTAGGTCTCATAGTTTGCAAAAAACTCCACCCCCATAGACATCAGGGTGGAGGCTGCAGGGCAGCAGGAGCTGGCGTTTGCCCGTACAAACAGGCTTTAGGGTCAGAAACATAATTCCCAACCAGTCGGCCTTGTGTACCCCTAACTTCACCTCTTTTTCCCTGTATTTATTAATTTTTTTTTCATTTAGATTTAAAGACAATCCCACACACAAGCTTTTTAAAGTTCAAAAGTTTGAATAACTGCATTAAATAATTACATTTTAAACATTAGGGTCCAAAATAACCATAATGGAGCAGCCTTACTCATGAGTACTCAGCCACAGTGAAAGCATTGTGCACAATTTCACTTTGTAAATGATGTGGTGGTCTACATTTCTCAGTGCAACCCATCCATGCATGTGAAAAAACAAGAGAGAATGCTGCACATAAAGAATGCAAGTAACTTGGCCTTATGAGCCTGTTTTATTGAGAGAGGAAGCCCAGCATAGCTGGGAGAGGATGGACAAGACTATAATCAGACCCCTGGGGCAGAGGCTAGCCCAGCACAAACTGTGTGTGAAAAGGGGGGTGCTGGCGTTGAACACTGGGAAGACAAACCAGGAGGCACACTTCAAACAAAATTCTCTACACTACATGGACAGATCCACACTCACATGAATCCACTTATAAGGCAAATAAAAACAGCATGCTGATACAAATAAACATAAATTTTCAAGAAAGATGAAAAGTGTGCAGATAGCATTTCTAGGCAGTAAGACAAAGAACAGCCGCAAGCAACAAACTATAAGCTCACTCTGGGAGGAGGA